GTATAAAAGGAATGAAGTAGTGATACATGCCACATAGATAAACCTTGAAAACATTGTACTAAGTGAAAGAAGCCAGACACAAAAAGCCTAGATAGGGAAAGAGTTTGTCATAGTAGTTAAGCCACCACACTGGATACCCATATCCCATGTGGGAGTTCCTGGGCTAAAGTTCCAGCTCCACTCCTGATTCCAGCTTCTTGCTAATGCACACCCTAACAAGCAGCAGGTGATGGCTCAAGTGGTTGGTTCCATGCCACCTACAAGGAAGATGCAGATTGTATTTCTGGTTCCCAGGCATTTGAGGAATGAACAAATGGATGGGTTTGTTCATTCTTTCTTTCCCTCTCTCTGCAAAAGAAAATAAATGAAACCAGAATATCTTACTTTAAAGTCACATGTAAGTACCACTCAATAATATGAAATTCCCAAAAAGGCAAATTTATGAAAACAAAAAGTAGGTTCACAGTTGCCAGAAGGTGAGAGAGAAGTTGGCTCTTACTGTTAATAGGTACAAATTTTGTTTTTAGAGGTGATGCAAATGTTCCTGAATTAGACAAGCATTACAGTTGTACAATGTAGTGAATATACTAAAACATCTAACTGTGTACTTTTTTTTTTTCGACAGGCAGAGTTAGACAGTGAGAGAGACAGACAGACAGAAAGGTCTTCCTTCCATTGGTACACCTCCCAAATGGTCACTACGGCTGGCGCGCTGTGCCGATCCGAAGCCAGGAGCCAGGTGCTTCCTCCTGGTCTCCCATGAAGGTGCAGGGCCCAAGGACCTGGACCATCCTCCACTGCCTTCCTGGACCACAGCAGAGAGCTGAACTGGAAGAGGAGCAACCGGAACAGAATCCAGCACCCCAATCAAGACTAGAACCTGGGGTGCTGGAGCCACAGTCAGAGGATTAGCCTAGTGAGCCACGGCGCCGGTCTAACTGTATAGTTTAAAATGGTAAATTTTATGCTATGTGAATTGTATCTCAAATTTTAAAACTCAACATATGGGGCCAGCGCTGTGGTGCAGTAGGTTAATGCCCTGGCCTGAAGCGCTGGCATCCCATATCGGCGCCAGTTCGAGACCCAGCTGCTCCTCTTCCAATCCAGCTCTCTACTATGGCCTGGGAAAGCAGTAAAAGATGGCCCAAGTCCTTGGGCCCCTGCACCTGCATGGAAGACCCAGAAGAAGCTCCTGGCTCCTGGATTTGGATCGGTGCAGCTCCAGCTGTTGCGGCCATCTGGGGGGTGAACCAATGGATGGAAGACCTCTCTCTCTCTCTGCCTCTCTGCTCTCTGTGTAACTCTGACTTTCGAATAAATAAATAAAATCTTAAAAAAAAAATTCAACATAAACAAATCCTACCTAAAGCCTCCCTTAGAGGCCAGCGTTGTGGCACAGAAGGTTAAGCTGTCGCTTGTAATGCTGGCATCCCATAGGAATGCCCATTCAAGTCCTGACTGCTCTGCTTCCAATTCAACTCTCTGCTAATTAGCCTGGGAAAGCAGTAAAGATGGCCCAAAATTGGGCCAATGCTAACCATGTGGGAGCCTCCTGACTTCAGCCTGCCCCAGCCCCTGGTATTTGGGGCCATTAGGGGAGTGACCCTGTAGATGGAGGATCTCTCTGTCGCTAACTCCACATTTCAAAAAATTAATCTTTTTTTTTTTATTTGACAGAGTTACAGACAGTGAGAGAGAGAGAAACAGAGATAAAGGTCTTCCTTTCATTGGTTCACTCCCCAAGTGGCTGCAACAGCAGGAACTGCACCGGTCCGAAGCCAGGAGCCAGGTGCTTCTTCCTGGTCTCCCATGCAGGTGCAGGGGCCCAAGTACTTGGGCCATCCTCCACTGCCCTCCCGGGCCACAGTAGATCGCTGGACTGGAAGAGGAGCAACCAGGACTAGAACCCGGCGCCCATATGGGATGCCGGCGCTGCAGCCAGAGGATTAACCAAGTGAGCCACGGCGCCGGCCCCGTAATTAAATAAATCTTTAAAAAAATAAAACGGGGGGGCCAGCATTGCGACATAGCAGGTACAGCCACAGCATGCAACACTGGCATCCTATATGAGTAGTGGTGGTCTGATAAAGCAGCAGCAGATGGCCCACGTGCTTGGGGCCTGCCACCCACGTGGAAAACCTGGATGAAACTCATGGCTTCAACCTTGCCCAGCCCTGGCTATTACGGCCATTTGCGGAGAGAATGAGTAGATGAAAGCTCGCTCTCTCTCTCTCTCTATTTCCTTTTAACTCTGACTTACAAATAAATAAATAAGTAAACTCTTGGTGGATACCCAAGAATATGCTTTCTAAAAAAAATAAGAAATTGAGTCTTAAATACATTTAGTCATTTACCAAAAGTCACATTTGTAGAAAGTGACAGAGTCTGGATTGACACCCAAGTTGACTGACTCCAGAGCTTGCCATGTACCTCGTTACTGGCCTTCAAGACAAGGCTCACCCCAGCTAGGGAGCATCAAAGACCTCACTTCTCAGGGAAGCACTTCTGCTCCCTGCTGCTGACTTCTCAGACACAGCTCATTCATCCCCATGTCCCAACAGCAAATCAGGGTCTTCTGGACACAAGATAACTTGGATCTTCAGTGGACACTCAATCTGGATGGGAACTTTTTCACAGGCTTGGGACAAAAACCAGGCCATTCAGTAGCTGCGGTGGACAAAGGCAAAGTTTAAAATCAGCTTTTTATGTTGATGGATTTTTTTCATTTAAACTTCTCCATTTCTTTTTCTTTTTTTTTTTTTTTTTAACAGGCAGAGTGGACAGTGAGAGAGAGAGACAGAAAGAAAGGTCTTCCTTTTTTTGCCGTTTGTTCACCCTCCAATGGCCTCTGCGGCCGGTGCATCGCGCTGATCCGATGGCAGGATCCAGGTGCTTTTCCTGGTCTCCCATGGGGTGCAGGGCCCAAGTCCTCCACTGCACTCCTGGGTCATAGCAGAGAGCTGGCCTGGAAGGGGGGCAACCGGGACAGAATCCGGCACCCTGACCGGGACTAGAACCCAGTGTGCCGGCGCCTCTAGGTGGAGGATTAGCCTAGTGAGCCACGGCGCCGGCCTAAACTTCTCCATTTCTGAGTTGGGAATATTCTTACCATTCCTACTAAAATAGATAATGGGATATTACATGCATATTTCTTCAATAAGAAGCTCTTTAAAAAAAAATAGATAGTAGGGCAATTCAGGCCACGAAACCAAGGATCTGGACATCTTGAGAGGAAGTACTAGCCAGAAGACAATTCTGCTTTAAGAGTTCGGAGCCACAGCTGGTACAACATTTTCCTACCTCATATTTGAGTCCTTCAGTCTGCATCCAAAATGTGCTCATCTCTCAGTATGTCTGCACAGATGGGAGGAAAAGGGACGGACAAGTGGATGGAAAATAAGAACTACTATTACTGAGCACTTACTATGGGCCACATGCTGAGCTGAGCATCCCTGATCTCTTTAATCCTTCCAATAAACCTAGAAGACTACTGTGCACAGCTTACAAATGAGAAAACAGGCATTTTGTAAACGCTGAGTAACTGAAGACACTCAGGGGGAAAATCAGAATTCCAGCCCCTACACGGCTGACTCCAAAATCTATCCTTTCACTAGGTACTGCTGTCTTCATTAGTAATCGCACAGGTGTTGGGAGTCTGTCAGTCCTTATATGTTTCACCTTCACTGGGGGATGTGTGAGTCTCTCATCAAAGCAAGATCAACACAAAGAGGCTCAGACAATCAAAAAATGTCAGAAGTAAATGAAACTTCAGGATCCAAGCCAATACGCTTATCTTAAGCTTAAGGCTACCTGATGTGCCTGAGATCCAAATATAAAACACCATTCCTTCACCTCTCCTCTTAGCAGGTTTGTTTTCCTCTGCCCTTCGTGGAAACCCATGTTCCTTTCCAGCTTACCACTGTTTTGTTGCACTGTTAGGACAAGTGACAAAAAGGTAGGTTCTTTTCTTCAAAGTTATGAGAACTATAAAACCCTGATGGGTAATGGAATAGAGTTAAGTACCAACTCTTTCTAATAAATAAATGCTATTGTAATAACATAGAAACGAACGAATGTGTATTTCCCTGGTATAATTATCATAACGGAGTAAACATTCAAAAGGAGGCGCCACTTGTGCAGAGAATTTACAGCTCTGGGAAAACTCGAAGCTGACTTTTCCAAGTCTCTCAGAGTACAAGCTGCAGAAGACAGTCTAGCACAACTCTAGTTACCAAACATTTAGGGCGTCTAGCATTAAAAAGAGGAGGAGAAAAACGTGGCCTTTGTCCTCGGAGGGATTACTAATTCTAGGGGGGGTTGGGGGGAACCACAGGCTGAAGTTGTAAACCCAAGAAGCTCCAAGTCCGGGCCGTCTGGTCCCCAGCCTGACCTCAGTGCACTGCGGCTGCGTCTCAGCCTCGGATGCTGCAGCATCCTCGCCCAGCTGGGTGGAGACACTGTGCCCGGGACGCTGGCGGTGTGTCCCCGCTGGCGACCCTAACAGCCCTAAGCTAACTCGAGGACTCCCACAGCCCTCCCTGCAGCCCCTACACCGCTCCGCTCCAAATCTCTTCTCCCCAACTCGTTCTCCTCGAAGTCTCCACACCCTTCGGTTACCTCAGGGGTCTCGCCTGGTCCAGACCGCACACCCAAGCTGCCTAGGGGCAGCTTCAACCCTCGGGGGCAGGAGGGAGTCCGGGCAGCCCTCGCGTATCAGGGGTAGGAGCAAAAACTGTGGAACCCGACGGACTCTAGGACCCGGGGAGGAGGAACGAACAGCACAGGGGGACTGGAGGGGACTTGCCTCTAGGAGGCGAAGTTTACAACCGCCACTTCCGGGGGCTGGGCAGAAGCGGCGGCTGCCGTCTCAGACCTCCGCAGACTTTCACAGGCGTCGCCGGCCCCGCCCCGACCCCGCCCCAAGCCCGCCCCGCTCCCACCGGCCCCAGCCTTCCCCTTTCCTCCCGCAGCCCTCACCCCCGCGTCTCCGAGATACGTACTCAAAGTACGCCGGGCTCCGATTGGCGGAGCCGGCCCGCGAAGCTGCGCGCCCTCGCTGGGGGGCCGAGCCAACGCATGCGCCGTCTCTGGGACGCGGCGCGCTCGCGGTCGAGCGCGCGCATGCGCGCTGCCGCTCCAGACGTCCCGCCTCCCCGTGCGAACCTGAGGCTGGCTTTGCGTCTCAGGGTGGTCTCAGCGTGAGGTCCTCAGGTTGCTGGCGCAGAATCCCGAGGCTACTAGAAAAGCAGATTTTAACTCCTTTTCCCTGCTTACTGAGTAAAAATCTGAGAAGCCAGACCCTGCATTTTGTGAACTAAATGCTGCGCTGATTCTTAGGGTCAGCGCAACCTTCCCGGTCTGTGGGCTAGTGCCAGAGCCCAGAGGGAAATTCTTGGATTTGGCTTCTGCACCAGTGGCTGTTCCCCTGCGTCTGAACGGCTCTTGGCCGTTTGTCTCCTCCTCCCGTTCCCATAGTAAACCGGGCAGGAAGAATGCGTGTCGGTGCATTAATGCCGTCGCAGTGCATGTAAACATTGCATAACGAAGTACAAGGCCTTGGAGCCAGGCGCGCTCCGTCTCTGCCGCTCCCCCATCCCTGTTACTCGCGCGCGCGTGCGCCTCCCTCTTGTTGATAATTTATAGTACGGTTTCTGCCGGTAGCTGCTCCACAATCTGCTGCCGCCTCAGGGAGGTTGGGAAACCGAATCCTTTTGTTCCTTGGCTTTGGAAAGCCTAGTCCCCAAAGATCAATGCAAATTGGAGAGATTTTGATTAAGGATTTTATCTTCATTACCACCTCCGCGCAAAAAGGTGTTCGGTACCAAAAAATAAATAAAAATTTAAAAACAAGCCTTTTGTGCTAGACTCCTCCCGTGTCGATTGTAATCAACCTGAAACCAGGTGTAGCGGCTATCTTCTGTCTCCCTCAGAGGAGCCAACGGTGAGAAAGGCAAATATAAATTGGGATTAAAACCGCCGTGATTCTTTCAGCACTGAAACCTTAATTGGTTAGAGTTTATTCGGTTCGATTAAAAAAGGAGGCCAGTCCCCACTTCCAAATACTTTAGCCAGAAAAAGATAATTGCTTCAAAGGAAAGAGCTTATGGAAAGGAAAAACAGCCCACTTAACATTTAGAACTGAAATGGAAAATGACAACAGACTAATGAGATTAGAGCTTGTGATTTTACAAGCTTTGACTGATACCTATAAATTTCTTATAGTTTCACAAAATCACAAAAGTGATTATGTAAGAATATGCTAAATATACTGTTGTCCACTATTTATTTTCTTTTTACTTTTTTATTGAACTTCTAGGTTTTTTCTTTCTTTCTTTCTTTAAGATTCATTTATCTACCGGTGCCGTGGCTCATTAGGCTAACCCTCCGCCTTGCGGCGCCGGCACACCGGGTTCTAGTCCCGGTCGGGGCGCCGGATTCTGTCCCGGTTGCCCCTCTTCCAGGCCAGCTCTCTGCTGTGGCTCGGGAGTGCAGTGGAGGATGGCCCAAGTGCTTGGGCCCTGCACCCACATGGGAGACCAGGAGAGGTACCTGGCTCCTGGCTTCAGATCAGCGTGTTGGGACCAACGGTAAAGGAAAACCTTTCTCTCTGTCTCTCTCTCACACTGTCCACTCTGCCTGTCAAAAAAAAAAAAAAAAATTCATTTATCTGTTTGAAAGGCAGAGTTACACAGAGGCAGAGACAAAGAGAGAGGTCTTCCATCTGCTGGTTCACTCCCTACATGGACACAATGGCCAGAGCTGCACCGATCTAAAGCCAGGAGGAAGGAGCTGCTTCTGGGTCTCCCACGCGGTTGCAGGGGCCCAATGACTTGGGTCATCTTCTACTGCTTTCCCAGGCGATAGCTGAGACCTGGATTGGAAGTGTAGCAGCCGAGACTCAAACCCGCACTCATACAGGATGCCGGCACTGCAGGCGGTGGCTTTACCTGCTGTGCCACTGCTATTTTAATGACAAAGGGGTACAGCCTCATGAATTTGCAATCCTCATTTATTATTCAGCATTTATAGAATGCAGAGTATGTACTCTGTAGGGAGCTGAGTGACGAAAATACAGGGTATGTAACACAGGTACAGTGGGGGTCAGAAAGGGGAAATGATAATATCAACCCTGAGCACCCAGGAAGGATTTCCAGAGAACCCTGAATTTAGCCTGGAAAGACACAGACTCACCAACCTAACATAATTGGAGGGAAAACATCAAAGTTACAAATACCAGCACGAGCAACAGCAGGACAGACATGAAAAAGCTCTGTGTTCGGGAGGAGTGAGAGATGAGGCTGAAGAAATATGCAGAACCTGGATCACAAAGGATCTTCTAGGTCATACTTGAAAGTTTATCAAGGGGCCAGTGTTGTGGCAGAGCGGATTAAGTCACTTCTGCTCCAGCTCCCTACTAGTGTGCCTGGGAAAACAGCAGAAGATGGCCCAGTCCTTGAGCCCCTGCTCTGAGGTAGACTGGGAAGAAGTTCCCGGCTCCTGCTTTCTCCTGGCTTCGGAGGGGCCCAGCCCTGCCGTTGCAGCCACTAGGGGAGTGAACCAGTGCATGGAAGATGTCTCTTTCTCTCTCTCTTCTTCTCTTTCCTGGCACGTTGATCCTCTTAAGCTCTCTCCAACACAGGTGAGAATCTGCACTCTGTCTTTTCTCCAGCCCTGAAACTATGGCTGCTGCTTAGGGAACCGCCATTCCCAGCCCTTCCACGGTCCTGCCCTCAACCTTCACACTGCCTGGTTAAGCATCCTGCTTGATGTCATCTAATCCTGCAAGTTGTGAATTCTAGGTACCCAATGTGCAATTCTTGATATCTACTTCTGACCTCTCCTGAGCTCTGATTTTGAATTTTTAGCTCCTATTTGAATTGGCCTGGTATTGTTGAATTCAACATATCTAAACCTTAATTATCTTTCTCAACTTCTCACAGGAGCCTCCCAAGCAACTCAGCTACTATTTTTAAAACATCTTATCTCCAAGACGCTGAGGCAAGAAAATCTCAGAATATCTTCCAGGCTCTCAATTCATACATCCCTGAATGCTCTTCCTCTCAGCCTCTAGTCTTTTTTCTGTGTCTACCAGTAAGCAGCTGCATTTGTTTGCTTCCTATTGCAGACACTTGGAATCCTGATCTCCCCTTTGTTGTGGTCTCTGCAAGTCAGTTACCTTCTTTTGTGCAACTTCTCAATAGTTTTAGAGGTGGTTAATTAACATCTAGGGTATTTTAAAACTGCCAAGTATGAGAAAAGAGGATCAGAAAATAGAAAAAAGAAGTTAAAAGCAGGCCTTGGGGGCATATGTATGTCTTCAGGACACTGGGGAATGTCGTGAGCTGACTGTCTGTATGTGAGCCTCAGGGCTTTGTAAGCACCAGATGAGCCTCAGCCTTTTGACCCTTTCATAACCTCCATAACCTCCCCCAGAAGGTTCAAACACCAGGTGCTTTGGTATCAATTCTTAGAACTGAAAAGCTTTGCCATAATTGTTGCTCTCAGTGGCTCTGGTCCTTTGCTCCTTCCATATGCTACAACAGAATTGATCTTTCAAAAAGTGTGCCTTGGATCATGTTACCATCTTGATTTATTATTTTACTGGCTCCTCTTTGCTTACAGGATAAAACCAAAACTTCACGCCAGTCAATCAGGGGCCCCTAATCTCCTCCCCACCTGCCTTTCCAGCTGTGCCTCCTCATATCTCAGGAAAAATCTTCTCTCCCCATCACATTAGCAACAGAAAACACAAGATATTTGGGAATAAGTGTGTAAGAAGTAGGTAGGCATGGACTTGTATTAAAAGTCTTGATATATATAAGTTAATATAAGAAATATGGGGGGGGGTGTTGTGGCTTAGCAGATTAAGCCACTGCTTGGGACACCCACATCCCACATCGGAGGACCTGGGATCGAGTCCTGCCTTGGTTCTGATCCAGCATCCTACTGGTGTGCCTAGGAGGCAGCACATGATGGCTCAAGTCCCTGCCACTTGTGGACACTCAGATGGAGTTCCTGTCTCATGGCTTCAGCCTGGCCCAGCCGCAGATGTTGTGGGCATTTGGGAAGTGACCCAACAAATAGAAGGTATCTCTCCCTGTCTCTTTTTACATATCTTTATCCCCCCTCTACATAATTCTGCCTTTCAAATACATTTTTTTTAATTTAAATCCAAGCAACATTTTAAATATGAAAAATACGCCAAGCACTATGCAAAATGCTGTCACATTTATTCTATTTTTTCAAAAATGCAAATACCTTTATCATTTGCTGTGCTAATACTTGGTCATTTTAACAATTGGGACAGGGGTAGGAGTAGGCCTAGCTATTAAGACACAGCATCCCATATCAAAGTGTGTGGGTTTGAGTCCCAATTCCACAGTCTAGTCCAGCTTAAGTGGGCAGGCATATAGGTTAAAATCGATTAGGTTTGTGAGCTGGAAGACCACACCTTCACCACGCCCCTGTGTGTCCTCATCCCCCTACCTGGCCACACCTGGGTGCCCACCAGCCAATCAGGTTAATTAACCACTCCCCTTTGGAAGTGGGTTAAAAGGTGGGCTACACACTGCTCTTCTTCCCTGGCCTCTTGCTAGGAAGGGGGCTTGCTGTATCCCGGCGCCTCCAGGGTGCATGGCCCTCGGGCCATGTGCTCTAGGCTTCCTGGCCCACATACAGGCCTAGATGCTCTTCCACGTGGCTGGTTCCTGGTGCTTGGTATGAACCCCTATTCACCTCTCTCTTAAATAAAGCTCTCACTCTCCTATGCATCTTTCTCACTAAATAAAAGCCTAAAATGTACCATGCTGCCTTGTTTATCTGTGCTGATATTTAGAATTCTTCTCTAAATATTAGGCAAGAACCCTCTTGGGCTTATTAATATTGGGGATTTAGTAATAAGCCCCTGGTGAAATCGTAAGGCACCCCAAATTCTGGTAGCACATGTGGCACCCCGGATAGCATTTCTAAGGAATTTAAAGGGCCACATTTCAGGGTAAATTTTAGGGGGTCTTCTTAGATTTCACAGCTGCTTGCTAATATACACCCTTGGAGGCAGCAGGTGACGGAGCAAGTCATTGGGTCCTTGCCACATGGGATACCTGGGTTGAATTCCTGGTTTGCCAGCACTTGGGGTATGAACCAGGAAATGAGAGCTCGCTGACTCTCTCCCTCCCTCTCTCTCACAAATAAATAAATAAAAACACTTTAGGTTACAAGAGAATTTAATTGGACAATTAGAAAAGAGTAAAAAGTCTCCCTAAAGTTCTAAAATATACAAAGAACTCTTGAAATTCAACAATAAGAAAGCAATACAATTAAAGAAATAAGCCAAAGGCCTTAACAGACGGCTCACGAGAGAAGATATACAGATGGCAAATAAGCATATGAAAAAATGTTCCACATCATATGTCATCAGAGACTCCACTGTACACTTACTAGAATAGCCAAAATCCAGAACACTGATAATACCACATGCTAGCAAGAAAGT